ACCCCCGGAAAAAAAAAAAAAAAAAAAAAGCAAACAAACAAACAAAAACTCTTAAAAGAAATAGACTAATAGAATGGATCAAGAAGCAAGATCCAGTAATATGCTGCACAAAAAAAAACAATTAATTTAAAAAGAAATTCATAGAATGAAAGTCAAAGGAATGGAAACAATACTCCATGCCACAGGAACAAAAAAGAAAGGAGGGGTAGCTATCCTATTTGGCGACAAAGTAAATTTCAAACCAAGACTAATTAAAAGAGACATAAAAGCCCACTACATCCTTGTAAAGGAAACAATCCAAGGGGAAGAAATGACAATCATAAATATATATGCACCAAATACTAATGCCCCCAACTACATAAAACAAGTATGAGTGGACATGAACAATCAAATACAATAGTAATGGGGGACCTCAATCCTCCACTGTCACAAATAGATCTTCTGGACAAAAAAATCAACAATGAAATACTAGAATTCAACCAAACTCTTGAACAAATAGACTTAATAGATATCTACAGAGTGTTCCACTCCACAAAATATAAATACACATTCTTCTTAGTGGCACATGGGTCATTCTCCAAAATAGACCACATGCTAGCTCATAGAACATGCCTAAGTAAATGCAAAGGAATTGAAGTCATCCCCTGTATACTATCTGCTCTAGTGCAATGAAATTGGAGACGAATAGCAATATAAACTGTAAGAACTTCATAAACACATGAAATTGAATAACACTCTCCTGAACAACCAGTGGGTCACAGAGGAAAGTAAAGAAGAAATTAGACAGTTTCTACAATTGAATGACAATGTCAATACAACATTCCAGAATTTATGGGACACCATCAAAGCAGTCCTACAAGGGAAATTCATAGCACTGAATAGCTATGTTAGGAAAACAGAGTGAGCTCAAATAAACAACCTAATGCTAAACTTCAGACTTCTAGAAAAAGAGCAAGAAAAACCCAAAGCTTGTACAAGGGAGGAAATTATAAAGATCAGAGCAGAAATCAATGCTTCAATGGAGAGTAAGAAAATGATACAAAAAAAATCACTGAATAAAAGAGTCGGTTCTTCAAAACAATAATAAAATTGACAAACTATTAGCCAATCTTATCAAAAAAAGGAAAGTCTCAAGCCAGGCCTGGTGGCACACGCCTATAATCCTAGTACTCAGGAGGTTGAGGCAGGAGGATCGCTGTGAGTTTGAGACCAGCCTGGGCTCCATAGGGAGTTCCAGGTCAGTCTCAACTATATAGCGAGACCCTGTCTCAAAAAGCAAAACAAAACAAACAAAAAATGGAAGGGCTCAAATCCATGCAATTAGGAATGAAAAGGGTGAAATTACAATGAACATGTACTCCAATAAGATGGAAAACACAGAAGAAATGGGCAGATTCCTAGATATATATGAATTACCAAAGTTGAACCAAGAGAAGATATAAAAATTCTAAACAACCCAATATCATCAATAAAATTGAGAATATAATTTAAAACATACCAACAAAAAAACCCAGGTCCTGATGTCTTCACTGCTGAATTCTATAAGACATTTAGAGAAGAGATAATGCCACTAATGCTCAAATTCTTTAATGAAATTGAAAGGGAAACAATACTCTCAAATTTATTCCTGGAAGCAAGCATTGCCTTGATACCAAAAGCTGACAAAGACCCAACCAAAAAAAGAGAACTGCAGGCCAATTTCCCTAATGAGAATAGATGCAAATATCTTCAATAAGATGCTACAAACCAAATGCAGAAGGTCATCAAGAAGATCATACACCCTGACCAAGTGGGATTCATCCCAGGGATGCAAGAGTGGTGGAACATATGTAAATCAATAAATATAATATACTACATTAACAGAGCCAAAGAAAAAAAACATAGGATCATCTTAATAGATGCAGGAAAAGCTTTTGACAAAATCCAACACCCATTCATGACAAATAACCTGCAGAAAATTGGAATAGATGGTCTTTATCTCAACCTGATAAATGCCATCTATGGAAAACAATTGCCTTGGGCCTGGATTTTAACCCAGTGGCATTATGCCTGCCTCACAAGTGCAGGTCCTAAATTCGATCCTTGGTACAGAAAAAAAAAAAAAATCTGCTGTCATATGCAATGGTTAAAAACTGAAATCTTTCATGCTAAAATGTGAAAAAAGATAAGATGCCCACCATCACTCCTATTCAGTATAGTTCTGGAAAGATTAGCCACAGAAATTAGACAATAGAAAGAAATAAAGGAATAAAAATAGGAAATAAAGAAGTTAAACTATTATTGTTTGTGGATGACATGATACTCTATATAGAAGACCCAAAACTGCACTGAAAGACTTCTAGACTTAATAATCAAGCTGGATTCAAAGTCAACATTCAAAAATCAATAGCCTTCTTGTACACGAATAACAGACTCACCAAGAGAGAAATGAAGGAAATGATTCCTTTCACAGTAGAATCCGAAAAAATGAAATTTCTAGAAATCAAGCTAACAAAAGAAGTAAAAGAGCTCTACTCTGAAAACTACAGCACTCTGAAAAAAGAGATCAAATATTTTCTGATAAGAAAAAATAAAGACATCCCTTGTT